CCTGCACATGCTGTACCGCAATGCTCGCCCGTCGTGCGGCACAGCATGCGTTTCCAACTCGCGAGGGCAGCGGCGCCCGAATGCTTGATGATCGAAACTGTATCCTCCGGACCTATTGGTTTTCTACATACGCCGCGCCGGCCGAGGGGGGGGGGGCGGGTACGACCCCCCCTCGCCGTTTCGCCCCTGGTGGAGCTAGCGCGTCGCGGAAAAAACGAGCGTGTGCGCCGTTACGAGACGCAGAGATTGGTACCCGATTTTAAGGTCCTAGGTCAACCGTGACCTCTGAGGTCAGGTCAAGTGCCCCAAGGTACGGTTCAGTTTTTTGGTGAATAACTTCGCAAAAACGGCCGCAGAGCGCCGATTTTGGCAGCATCGTGTTCGTCTCGCTCAGGCGCGTCGAATGATATACTTTTTGTCCGGGTCAGGTCAACTTGGGGTGACCTCAGGTCAAGGTCAGGTCAGCACCCCCAGGTCACGAAGTTGGTCGAAAGAGGTCATGTCGCATATCATTCGATTCGGCAGGTCTTCCTGAGTCCATTGGTGGCTTTCCCGACTCGCTAGCTCAATTTGATCAAGAGTTATTGACGAAAAACTAATATGACCTTGATGACGTCATAAATGACGTCACGCAAGGTCAACATTGCAAAAGTGACGCATCTAACCTTGCAAGGAGTGCATCAAATCACGATTCTGTGTGCTTGAGATAGTTGGAGATCGTTCCCGGCGCCAGAATAGCAGTTTTCATTTTTCCCCATTGACTTATAATGGTGAGGTCACGAAAATGACCTGACCTCATATGACCTTTAGGAAAAATCTGAGATATACAAATTGTGGGACTCATAATGGATACTAGATCCTGCAAGTTTCATTTCCCTGTGACATCTCCTCTGGCAGTGAGGGCGTTGTGAAGTTGCGACATCTGAAGACCGTGCAGAGGTTCACTTATGACGTCATAGGTCAGTGACCTGACCTGACCCAAAAATGCGGTTGGTGTCAAAAGATCCGGCTTGGATCAAAGGTCAGGTATGCCAAGTTTCAGCTCTCTATCGCCAGCGTGTTCGGAGCTATCGCGAAAAAACCCTATGGGGGGGGCGGCACCCGCCCCCCCCCCCTCGGCCGGCGAGGGTTAATAAACCGTCTCTTTAATCCAGTTGACTGCAAATAACTTGAAAGACAAAATAAATTGATTCAGAAAACATCAATGGTCGTGATTTCCAAATTCCAACTCAAGCTAGTTTTGTAATCCAATGAAGTGTAATTGGAAGCTGTAAAAAGCTGCAATTGGAACGAAGAGTGGTTCCATTCACCAACAAATATAAACACACCAGTACCTGATACCTATGTTTACAGGTTACACCATAGCAACAAAACATACAGCAACAGCTCTGGGGCCGCTGCGGTACTGTTTTTCTTACGGTGTAAAAATAACGATCCACGTGATCCACGTAGTCGTATAACACACCGATCCATGTGACTGAAAAACTAACGGAAAAGTGCAACAGACGTGACCGGTGCGACGGGTATATCCCTGGCTGTCGGTCACAGTCGAGTAGTCTAACTTCAACTCGAGCTTCAAGGAAACTCTGCGGGGAGTCCACTTCAAGGAACAGGTAGATCGCAGTGCTAGGAAATGGACCCGGCAACAGTCTTTTCTTGGGTTCACCCTGCTGCGTAATGAACATTTTAGTGGTGTCTACTTTCATCTCTGCCCTGCACCGTTATATCCAACGGTACATTAGGTAATTGAGCTTAAGTGGTAGTTCGCGTGTAAAGTAACGCGAGTCCAACAGAAGATAATCAATGTATATATTACAAATTGTGAACTAAATCAACTAACTACATGGATATGAACATAAACGAAGACGGCTGAGGCTGACTTTGGTTCTGATTTTTACTGACATAGCCTAAAAGACACGAGTTTGTATTATGCAATACGTATGTACTATGTAAGAAATCCACTTCGTATTACGTATATCTGATTCTAATCACTTCTGTAAACAGCATTTCCGAGGAAAACACGATGAACTGTCATCCATATATTGCAACGTTGGCTGATGGGAAAGACTGGATCTATGGGGCGGCACGTGACGGTCCGAAGGCCGGGTGTTGACGAATGGCCGCTGTTTGACGGGCCGTCACTGGTGGTTGACGGGCCTATCTGCCGCCCCGGGGCCCGGACTGACTCAATCCGGAGTCACCGTCCCGGCCACCGACACCCACACATACAAACATACACGTCTCTCAAACGGCGAGCGGTGAGCGCAACAGTCGCCAATCGACGCTCACACGCGCTCACCCACGCTCACACGCGTGAGATTCGCCACACGCTACGCGGCACCGAGGCTGATGACAATGTCGTGCCATCGAGGTGATAAGCCGACCGAATCGGAAAAGACAACGTGAACGGTCTATACGAGAGTGTGCGGAGAATGAAATATAACCCCACTCATAATATGCATCCTTATGAGCCCTTGTACTAGCATTCACACTGAATGGCCACAGTCGTGTGAGCAGACGGATATTACGGAGTCTATGCGTTGAGCAGATTATCTGAGAATATGTTTGGCATCAGTTACTGCTTCTCATTCTCCGAAGGCTGACGCATCTTGCGTCCAAGCTCGACGGGCGACTCCGACTCACTCACCGACTCTGACACGCTTTGACTCGAGTCTGGACCGACTGCGACTCTGACTCTGCCCTGACTCCATCACCGCACGGCCCCTCCACCGTCAGACAGAGTCAGCCATCTGGCGCGACACCAGGGTGGCGAGTGTGTCGTCCGGGTATCCTCCGGGTAACCTCTCCTCCCCGCCCTACACCCGGGACCTGGATATCTTCTCCAGTCGAGGACAGCCGCTCTGCCGGTGTATCTCCAACCTTACTCTCCCCTGTCGCCGCCTGTGTCCGCGGCGGCGGCTCTGTGTGTCACTTTTTGAAGGGAAGGATACGCGCCACGAGCCTGCCGAGCGGCTGGTCGCCGTCGTACTGCCGGCTCAGATAGATGAGCCGCAGACCGTCCTGGTCAAACGAGTCGAGCACACCCCAGCGGCGGAAGGTGCGCAGCGCGCTGCGGATCGTCTCCGCTGACAGACTCTCACCTGCAGAACGGGGAGAAATGGGGGGTCAGCAAGGGTCAGGTCTCGCCAGGTCTGGTCTGATCTGATCGGGTCAAGTTGGGTTTGTTGAACAGATCAACAGACATGTGTATAACGCAAGAAGTCACCCAAAGACTTTCACACGGAGAAATGAGCGCGTCATCCCCAATTCGAACAAGACAATCATCCAGTATAAACAGGCAATTGAATAGCAACCAATAGCAACCAATTGAATAGCAACCAATTGACAATCTAGCACAAAGTCGCGTACAAAGGTAGGAGTTGTTGACTGATTAGCTCCTAGCGGATGCAAGACATGGCAAATGTACTAAAAAGGTTAAATGAAGTTAAGCCGCAAAGAACTTCTGAAAAGACACGGAGGTCAAAGGGAAACATCATCCAGCCCAATGCAAATGACGTTGGAAACTGATAAAATCACTTTTGTTTTACCGCCCCTCCAACACACAACCCACGGCTGTTGCGTGTCAGAACCAGGAGGTACCGCGGCTGAAACTAACTATGCCGTCCGGCCGGGGAATGGAACTCCCCGACTGAGCCGTGCAGCCCACCAGCGTTCCCGACTGGTAATCCCGAGATCAGCCCCGACATTTGCCCGGCACCGGTCCGGCTCGGAGCTCAGCTCGCAATTCGACAAATGCTCGGCCGGCCGGGCGCGATTGTTTCACAGTCCCACCTCGGCATACAAATAACGAGCCTATTGCTGGCTGAAACGGGGCCGGACCGGCCCAGAAATAGCGGCCGCAGATTGGACTGGGACCGGGCTGGGCCGGGCCGGCCGGGACCCGGGCCGGTACCCTGAGGCCGTTTGACGTCGCGCACTGACCTTCCCCACCGTCAAGGCAAGGTCGAGGTGCGCAGCGCGGGGTACCCACCGCAGTTCCCCGAAATCAGCCGCTGGCACTCGGCCGAACCGCACTGATACGGCGCTTTGAGCCTCGCGCCGCCGGCTCCAGCGGTAAACAGCTCCAAAGTCGAGCGCAAAAAGCCCGCTACAAGCCACTTCATTATGGGGCTGCATGGCGCACCGGTATCGGCGGCCAGGTCGAGTCCGGCGGCCCGGGACAGCCGGCGCCGCACCGCGCCGCCGCCGAGCCGCCGCTGCTGCTGCTCCATTAGAGCGGCTCGAGCCGACCGCTGCGCGCTGAATAACCCAATACGGCGCCGGCGGCTGCATCCGCTGCCGGCGGCGGCCGCGTCTTCGGCGAGCAGCAGCCGCTCCGAGCCGGGACAACGGAAACGCACTCGACGGTGCGGTGAATTCGGCGCGCCGCGGCGAGTCCGGTGCACCACAGACGCGCCGCGTCCAAACGAGACCGCCATTGTAACGGGACATTCTCAGAACAGAGCGTGAATGGATTATATAGAAAGTTATTGTTCAGTGAATTAACGGACATCGCAAGCATTGTATTGAATTAACAGGAACAGTGCATAGACGTGCGCTATGGAGAGGAAACCATTAGCGAAGGGGAATATGAAGCTCAATTCTGGCCGCAGCATCTGCAGCTTATCCCGCAGCTGAGTATCCCGCCGTTCAGCGAGTTGAGTATGACTGTTGGGCATCTCTCCTCCCCGACCATTCTCTGTCACCACCGCACGAGTTTTGTAAGCCGCTCGATGGAACACCCACGGCCAACGGCCCCATCCAGACGACACAACGGCAGCCGTATTCATCCACCGGGAAACATAGCAAAGCTCTCTGTCTCCAGCTGCCACTCGCGGAAATTCACCGAGGAAATCCTGGCATCGTCCCACGCCCGACGGCAGTCTTCAAATATCCGGCTCCATCTTTTAGAAAGGTATCCGACCGCCTCAGCAACGTACCGAATAAAAAACTGGAGCAACTTCGGCACCAACTCTTTCGGCTCCATGCCTCACTTCTCATTCGGTTCTGGCTGCTTCCTTTCAAGACAGTCAACACAATGCTAATGAATATCTCGTATAAATACGCGCTATTTGTGTACTGGCCATTGGTGAGCGTCGTTGAGCACATTGCCATTTGGGCGGTGTTATTTCAGCGCGGCGCGGCCCGGGTGCGTCCATCCGGCTCTCTGCCCGAAATCCCCGGATCCGGGCCGCGGCGGCCGGTCGGCCCCTCCGGACCGCCGCGCCGCCACTGGTCGCAACACAGCGCACCCACCCATCTGGCCGGAAAGATAAGCCGGCTTCAAGACATTGCCAGCGGCCGTTTTTCGCCGCCGGCAGAAAAACAGATCCAGTGCGCGGCCGACTCTGGCGGAGACAACATGGCGATGATGGGCCGCAGTAGGACTGAGCCTCACCCGCCAACGCACTGACACACACACCGACAACAAACCGGGGACGAGCCGAGGATGCCTGCAGATGGCCGGCTTACACACACGGCAGCTTTACGAGCGGAACGAAATGAAAAATGAAAAACATGAATGCACATAAAGAGGAACACGACAGATGAGGTAAACACGAGAGGCGCTAACAATGACTTGTGGATTCACTTTCTTGCCGGCCGCTTGAGAAAGTGTTCGCAAATGTAAAATTTGTCGGCGGTTTAGTCTCCGCAGTCCGCAGTCCACATACGGCCGACTCGTCACCGATTTAGCGTCGCAAAAGCATTTTGTAATACCCCTAAAACTGATTTTGCAAAAAGCATAATTAATGCCAATAAGCTAACAAAAATGTAGAGGCAAAGATACACATGGCAAAGATAAATATAAATTTGCGTGCAAACTAGCTTATAATAAACAAGCGTTTATATCAGTGGTATCTCATCAAGCGTTAGACGCGTTTACATAGGGTTTTGTTGCAAGCTTATATCTCCGTCCGTGATGTTGCAAAAGATGCCAATGGTAAAAGATTTACAAAATGATTCCCTCCAAATATTTGAAGACCACTGCAACGAAATTATCGCCAAATTAGCGAGCTAGAGCCTCGTCAAATATGCTATGTAAACCGGGTTACTGATAAACGCTACCCGCAAGTAACACATAATATCGAGGTCCCTAGACTCTGGCGTCCTGGCACAGGCGCCATGACCGCTGCTCGGTCTGCCCCGGCACCATCGCAGGCCCGCTGAAATCGGCCCCACTCCGTACGGGCCAGCGGGCCATTTCGATTCCGCCCGACTGTCAGATGGCCAGGCCGGTTTAACGCCACGGCCGCCGCGCGCCGCACCGCTTCACAGAAGAGCCTCCAATTTGTCGTGTGAGTTATGTTTACATGATACCAGTCGGCCAAAATATGAGTTATGTAACGGAACGAAAAGTTTGGCGGTACATTATGTATACGGGCAGGTTTTCAGACTCAGGAGTTATGAAATGTATTTAAAAAATAGCGCAGGAAAATAAGGTTACGGATCGTCCAACAGCAGCTCAATAGGCGGGGAAAACAACATGCATAGATCAATACTACTGAAAGCATTCGATATTACAAGGTCCAGATCATTCTCTGAGGCAAGGCATATTCAGCTAGTGGGTAAATACAAGCGAGCATTATAATGTACGTACTGTGCACTTTAGTAATATTGGATCTCCATTCACTGATGTAAGATGACACCAGGCACAAAATCATACAAAAGCCAAATGACACTGCACAATGCACATGTGCACAAGTTACAGTTAAAGGCGACTCTATCCTCAGCATTGACCGACAACGCTTCAACATGCCACAGTCATTCCCAGAGAGACAGCCTGTTGTGCCTGTTGTGTCGCGACTGTGCTCGATGTCACCTGAAGGTGCATGTTTAACTATTGCCACGCCTGGACAACAGAACAGTCAATATCACTGTAACTTATGGGCAATTTAGTCTCGATATGTGACAACACTCGACAAATCAATAACATGTAAAACGTTTAAGTACTGTTTTTCCTCAGTCAATGTGCTCGCCGCAGCTATTCACAATCAATTTACTTTCCGAACTGCATCTGTGCTGTGCCACATGAACACTGTAGAGCGCAGTTATAAATAGCACCAGTTAACCACCCAATCGACTCGGGCCGGATGTTCAAACGCTATCCCTCCTCCAACTAGATCAAACTACAAGGAATCGAATTAATCATCCACTCAGCAGGGAATCGCCGATATTGGAGCTGGTCAACTCCAGTCGTAATTGGATAAGTGACGCACTCGGCGTGTGTGATTTTGCGCACAACTCTGAGCGAAGGTCATTAGACAGCCTTCCCCTCCTCCACATCCATCCAAATTAGACAGAAATTGGCTAACGAGGAACATGGCTGATCTTCCACTGGGATCTCGTATTGAAACACCGCACGTTTGATTTAGAACAGCCAAACATACCGACATCAAAACGGTTCGGAATGAGCTCGATCGGCGGCACCCCAGGGAGGGCGTTCCCCGGATGATCGGCCTGATTGACAGCCGGCGACCTCCTGATGCGGCCAGCCCGGGAGAGCGGCGATACATCGCCGTGGACCCAGTCGTCCGCAGGATCGTATGCATGCGTCCAAATATTTGTCTAGTCAGTAATTGCTTACGCTTCGAGTGGCCATCGGCAGCTATTTCAAGCTGCTACGAGCATGATAGGCTCGGCATTGCCGGTCACAAACAAAGCTTATCCCCTCGGTAGCTCAGCATGAAGTTATATCCAAGATCATGCCGACACTAAATCTATTGAAGCCGAGTATTTTTAGCTGACCGAGGCGGGCCCGGCTGGCAGGGTGACGTGCCGCCTGACGGACAGTCGCCAGAGTGTGACGTCACGTCAGCCGGGTGACGCCACGTCACTCCGGTCGCGCCGGAGATGCCAGGCGGCTCTGAACGGGGGCGGCCGGCGCAGCGCGTCAGTTTTTAGTCAGCCGCCGACGACGACGATGATGGAGCACCGCTGAAGGCGGCCGCATGGATTTTCTGCCCAGCTTCTGGAGACACGGGGACGGGTCGAGAGCGAGAAGAGAAGGGGAGAGTCGAGGGGAGGAGGATGGCGACAGCGCGCACCGTTCCGTCGAGCAGCGGTGTATTTTCGGAGTCCCTGAAGGTGGCACGTCCTGCCGCGACCCGCGAGGTGACTGAAGACCGCAGGGCAGTCTCTCCCAGTCCTCCCACATAAAAGGAGGCGTCTACTGGATCGACCGCGGTCGTAAATCATCAAACTCACTGACCGGGCACCCCGAGGTAGCCGGGTCGAGGGTCAGTCGGGAATAGCAACTACCAAGGTGCAGAGTCGACGGATTTTATTAGCGGCTCCGACTCCGTCAATAACTTGACTCTGACTGACTGCGACTCCGACTAGGCAGCCCTGGCAGCAATAACCAATCCAGGATACTGGCCCATCGGTGAGAAGGAAACACCTGCTGGATAAAGGAGACCGATCACCCCGGCCGGAGACCCGCCCGACCGGGTGGGAGAGCCGATCGCCCGGGCCCGAGAGCCGCTCGCCCCGCTCTCTCAGGTCGGAGAGCCTCCCGCCCGCTCGCCGCGGCGACCTGTGGCGACCCGAGCAGCCTCCTCTGCCGGCCTTGGCTCGCCATCTGCATTACAATGCGCCGGTCACTGCGGAGGCGGCAATATTGCGACAGGGCTGGGCGGCGGGCCGTCACCGGGCGCGGACCGGAAGGTCGCCCCCGCCGCCGCCGCCCCACGATGGCCCGCTGGCGTGTCAGTGTCGGTCGGCCGCCAATCTGGTCCCGATCACCACCGCGGGCCTCCGGTGATCGCGACGCTCGACGACGGCACGCCACCGCCGGCAGCGAGCCGCACGCACTCCGCGCCGCCGGCGACACAAACAGACTGAGTGCCCGGGTAGGAGCGAGCATTGCGTGATGGGTGAGTGGAGCACAGCTGAGGACTGGAGTGGGTGGCAGCGGAGTGGATGACATTGTATATGATTCGGCGTCTGTTAATTTGTGAAACACAAGCTGGATGGTAGAGCTGAATTGGGATTAACTGGATCATAATCACGCGCAATAATCTTGTTTGATTCAAGCATAAACCTCCGCGAGTTTAGAGTTACTCGGCGCTACAGCGACATGCATTTCTCATTTCCTCATACACTGCAGACGCAGCCCAGCAGCCGATGTCTCAAACATTCCTCATGTCGCGACCCTTCGTGACTCTTGTCGTCTAGACAGAATACAGACACCGGTGATAGGTGAAAAAATAACCACCTCTGCCGCCGCTGTCGCCGACTCCGATCCCAGTCCACTCGTGGTCAGCCAGACGGGGAAACACACGACTGGTGCACAGCGGTCACGTACCGACGCTCCCGGAACCGACCGACTGATTGAGTGCCCCTAGTCCGTGACACGTAGTCGGTGCGACACAGCGACACCCATCACTGTCCGCCACCGCCGCGATCCGACCACAGACAGTACGGGCGCGCCGGTCCTGGGGGACGTGTGTCTAGTCCATGTGGCCGGCCGGCCGCGGGCCTGGTAACATACGGCCACCGGCGGCCGCTGAGACAGCCGGTCTCTGTCCGCAGTGAGACACCGCCGCCGGCGCCGCAACGCTGCCGCAGCGCTCTGAAACCAACTCGCTAATGACGAGCGATGTCGAGACATCAGGACCCCGCTGAGGGGGAGGGACGGAGGGGGAGTGTTTCCTTGCCGGGCGCTGCTCGGTATCTCTCACCGCGAGAGACGTGACTCGAGTGGAGCCGACCGAATGACGACGGTGAACAGCGGGCCGGAGAGATATGGAGACGGGAGGGAGAGAAAGAGACAGGGATACGGAGAGAGAGGGAGGGAGGGATATGGAGGGAGAGAGGGAGGGAGGGAGAGGGGGAAGGAGAGAGAGAGGAAGAGAGAGAGAGAGAGAGAGAGAGAGAGAGAGAGAGAGAGAGAGAGAGAGAGAGAGAGAGAGAGAGAGAGAGAGAGAGAGAGAGAGAGAGAGAGAGAGAGAGAGAGAGGAGAGAGAGATATGAGGTCGCCGTGGAGCGAGCCATCAGTGGACAATACCGCAATACCGCAAATAAGGCGATGCCTCTAATACAGTACGAGACTATTCACTATTACGAGGAAACTTTCAAGGATAAAACGCAAAGTCAGTCTGCTATTTCCGAATAGCAGCATTTCAGTATCGATAATTCCCGAACTCGAAAGAGGATCTGTCACGCGAGGTCAATGAGTCCAAATGAAAGACTAGCCTGCAGTCCACACGGCCTCCCGAGTCCCGCCACAAATTCAAGCAAGGAAACTCTCCATCAAAACTCCGGCAGGCCATACGTAAATCAAGCTCATTAACCTGTTTATCAGAGCCGGTATCAGGTGACAGCCACGTCGAGAGCAACGGTCGGCAACAGCGACGGTACCGACACCGACACCGGTGGCAGGGGAGCGGCCGCCGCGGCGCTACCCTGGGGATATTCGGCAGTCCGATCTGTGACCGGCCACGGCGCGGCGGCCGGACCCACTCGGACGGAAACTCGCCCGGCAGAGACACTCGTCTCCAGAGCGCCACCAATCTTTATTTATGAGCCTTTTACGGGAGATTGTTTTCGCTGGGTGTACATCAACAGGCGATGAAAGCATGAAGCCGCTGCGTATGATAGTGCTCCCGCGGCCAAAACACGACTCTGAATGACGCTATCCGTATGATAAGTGGCCAAAAGAAAACAGAATCAGCTTATCAGATGATGGGATACGTATGCTGTGACGTCAGCCCTCCGATATTGACGCAAGCCGAGACCGTAATTCCAAGATGCATATGATAAAAATTATATATTGGAAAATGTAAACAAGAAATGAATAATGCTACTTATAAAAAACACCGAACTCATGATAATAATTCACATCAGAAACATTTTGATTTAAGAAAGAGAAAGACGGGGAAGAAAAAGTGGAGAGAGAGAGAGTGAGAGAGAGAGAGAGTGAGAGAGAGTAAGAGAGAGTGAGAGAGAGTAAGAGAGAGAGACGGAGGGAGGGAGGGAGGGAGGGAGGGAGGGAGGGAGGGAGGGAGGGAGAGCAAGAGCGAGAGGGAGAGCAAGAGCGAGAGCGAGAGCGAGAGCGAGAGCGAGAGAGAGAGAGAGAGAGAGCGAGAGAGAGAGAGAGAGAGAGAGAGAGAGACGGAGGGAGGGAGGGAGGGAGGGAGGGAGGGAGAGCAAGAGCGAGAGGGAGAGCAAGAGCGAGAGCGAGAGCGAGAGCGAGAGCGAGAGCGAGAGCGAGAGAGAGAGAGAGAGAGAGAGAGAGAGAGAGAGAGAGAGAGAGAGAGAGAGAGAGAGAGAGAGAGAGAGAGAGAGAGAGAGAGAGAGAGAGAGAGGAGACGCTTTCATTTCGGTTTTAATTTCTACTTAACGCCTAGCAACGACCAAAAACCTCACAAACAGCATCTTAACTACAAAGTTCAGTGCCGGCAGTAATGGCCCCAATCTTGCACAGTCAAACACCGATTCTAGTAGGGCCAACTTCTTAACAACTTTTTATCAGACCCTTGCAAACTTATCAAACCTCCGGAGGCAACATAACGACAATGTGCTTCAGAGCACTGAATCAATTTAAAAACACATCATTAAGATATTCGAAATTCCAGTTGGCTGCACCGTTAACTTCACAGTACCAAGCCTAACCTCCATCAAAGCGCTGGAACGATACAATCCGTAATACTCGTACGTTGCAATTCCATCAATGAATAATCCCATTCCATCAAGGAGCAGTGTCAATCACCATAATTGTAAATGACTGCACAATTAAGGTCCGATCGATTTCCACTTAGCCGGTCCCAAAATGCTCAGTCCTGCCCACTGGGGCAAGCCCTGACCATCGGACTCGCGCCCCGCGCCTATGCCGGCGGCTATTAGGCTAGCGGGGCGCTCAGACGCACTTCAGAGACCGCCGGGCGCCGAGACTGTTTGCCAGTCAACTCAGCGGCGGAAATCAAACCGAATTCGCGCTTTGTACGTGACACTTTTGCAGTCAGGAATACGTCAAACTGCACCCGAGAAATGTGCAAATGAGGAGGCAATGAAACGCGTCGTGCATCAATGCTCACAAACGAATAAATAGGAACAAAATGGAGGCAGAAGAAGGATATTCTATTGTGCTATTATTCGAAAAATATACGAAGAACGAGACGAAATCAACGATAGCAGGATGCAATACCTAAGATGGGAGCTGCAATTGTGATAAAATACAAGACGTGATATTCAACGCACGACAGCTGATCATAGACTAGATCACATAAATGGCTTCATAGAAACCGTGCGCTTTTATGTGACGTATAGCATTAAAAAAAAAAACGCAGTTCAAACTATGACATCTTAATGTCCTTTTGTATCAGATACATAGCAGTTTGACTCCTAAAACCCTTGGCCGGTATTTCGTTCTGGAGAAGTAACATGAAATACAAATCCTGGCAATGAAGGTAAAACCCATTTGAAACCACAGCCATCTTTTTGATATTATGGCATACCATACATAGCGAATGACGATCTTTTTTTTTGCCTGAATAATTTATGAAAAATGTTCACTCAATGGAAAAGCAAAACTCGTCCATCAGACAATTGTACTACCACATGGTAGGCATGCTTATAACATTGGTTAAACTACCAAACACAGGCGAAAGCGTGTCTCTAACCAAATTATCGTCTGTTGTAGCTGGCGTTGGAGCATCTTACGCTGGGCTGCGCCACCTACCCTGCACTACACACCCCTTAACCATCTGAGTTTGAGAAGTCTTTTAACGCTCTGGGCTGTCCAACCGGCGTCATGATGAATTTTCCTCCACCCTGGACAAACGATCTCTCCCCACCACCCTCCCATGTTATTACGAACAACTACCATTGATTCACCCACGGGTAAGACCTTCCACTCCTGCCCTCCCCGCTGCACTCACCATAAGCCAGCATGCCGAGCATCAGTTTGTTCTTGATCTCGTAGAGCACATCGAGTACAAAGTCCTGTTCGGCCAGCTCCTGGCCGACCAGCCGGTGCAGACAGCAGGCGGTGATGTAGTACGTGTCGATCACAGGCGCCACCTGGGACTGCAGGAACAGCAGCTGTTCGCGACTGTCGGCAGTCAGCTGTACCTGAGGGGGTGGGTGGAAGGGTGGTGTCACACAAAGCATGGAGAGTGTAATAGAGGGGAAAACATACAGACGCTGGGCCTACCATACCATTGGGAAACATGGGGATTCGTCAGGATGAAGAAACGGGGTCATCCGACGCGTTGAAGCCTATCAGAGATAGCGGTAAGACAGACAGAGAGAATGAGACAGCCATGTAGAAGTCACCCCAGGTGAATATGTTTCCCCTGACGTTTGTATAATTATCGGAAAAACGAAAACCGATACGACCAAAGACTTTTCAGGTACGATGTTACCCCAGGTTGAGCCACGTTGGTTTAGACCGCATATGCCGGCTCTGTTCGTAACTAAACACAGCTAGCTGTTGACTGACCATGTAGAATGTCTCGTTGGCCGGGTGACCGAAGTCGGTGTCGCCGTCGCTATAATCACTCTCGCTGTCCGCCTGCTCAGTCTGGTCTCTGAAGCGGGCGAACGCTCGGCTGGCCCACTCCTCAGACTCGTTGGCCGGCTTATCCTGTTGGGGCGATGGGTTGGTGTGAACTTTGCCCAGATAGCTGTTACACTCACCAGGACTGAACGGAACATGCAGTGGTTAGCTGAGATCAAGAGTCATCATAGAAAAAGTTAAGAAAAATAGACAAAGAACACGTTGTGCGAGGTGAAATCCGTTACCCTTACACCACCATTTATCTTTCACTGAACAGCCAGCTGCAGCTTATATATGAATGTATTTTTGGTGTAATGCATTCTTCAATGCATGAATTTCATTCACGCCTTGGAAATAGACCTAGTCTGCAATCTATTCATTTACACATTATCTGTACATACACGGGATGCCTAGCTACAAACTTCACACTACTTCCTTCGGTCCATTCGTCAGTTCATCTGTCCTTCCTCTCTCTCACCTGTACGCTGACCAGCACCTCGGCGCTGGTGAGCCGGTTGAACGGCTCTGTCAGCGCGTCCTCGATGGGCCGACAGGGCGGCGCCAGCAGCAGCTCGTCACTCAGCAGGTCGGCCAGGTGGGCAGCAGCCGTCAGCAGCTGGTGCTGGCCGACCTCACAGTCGCGGGTCGGGCCGGCGTCGACCAGCGCGGCCAGGTCGACCGTTAGCAGGGAGAGGAGGGAGGCGGCCAGCACGGCGTCCACTCCCAGCGGCTGGCTGGCGCCGTGCGAGTAGTAGGCCAGCTCCAGCACGTTGGGCAGGATGGTCACAGGACGGACAAACGTGACCTCGAGGGGAGGCCGGTCCGGGCCGCCCGACATCTGCAGACGCTCCTCGGTGACCAGACCGGGGCCCAGCAGAGACACCTGACGGCGGGAGTGGGTAATTAGAACCGAACGACGGCGCTAGTGAATGAGAAGGCCTGGACTCAACGTCTCGGAAAAAAAAAATAAGAGAGGACAAACAGGTGTCACATGTTCCGATAGGCGATACGCATTACCCAACCATATTCTGCTGGATATTCATTGAAACTGACATCAACAGACGCATAGCCTTATTTCCTTTTTAACAACAATGAAAGTCACGGAATTTTGTTTTGTCCCTTGCTTGTCCCGTCCCAAAGTCCACCGCAATCCGTTGCTCGTTGTCGCCACTTACCGCCGATCGGACCACGTCGCCCGTCTCGCCGGTGAAGCCGACGTCGACTCGCCGCGTGCGCAGGTCGTCGCGGGTCTTGCCGAACGCGTTGGTGAGCGCGCTGAGGGTACAGCCGCTGCGGAACCGGTGGAGGAGCAGCAGAGCCACCAGCTGGGTACTCATCACGGCGCAGCAGCTGGCCGCGTCTGCAGAGGGAGGGAGAGGGAGGGGCACATAGCGGGTCAGTAATGGACGCGACAGTTGGGGAAAGAAATGTCTCACATAATACCGAAACCGTACCAAACTAGCTACCCTACCTCATCGTCACGTAACAATATTAGGTCAAACATGAAATGGGATGAGAGCATCTTATATAAATATCCATCACATGTTATGATAATGACGAAGGTGACAAGACTACAGCGCTAGGCTGTAACTGACGCGGGGTAGACATTGACTCATCTCTATACACCCCGCCACGTCACACCGCCCCGTCGCATCCCTGCATGAATCTCCTCACCAGCCAGTGCGAACCTCTCGTCACCTACTCCTCACCATAGAGAACGTGCTGGGCCAGCGCGCTGACAGCAGACCGCTGCTGGAGGTCCACCTGGTCCAGACCGAACAGCGAGCTACCTGACGAGTTAGAGTCGGGAGACGACGAGAGAGGCACAGAGTCCAGCAGCGGCGGCGCCGGCCGCGGGTACCGGCCCGTTGACAGAAACTCCTGAGGGCCGAGAGACGAGGGACCGGTCAGCGTGGCAGTTATCAAGATTCCTTTACTACTCAGGTTGGTTCACTAGGGAAATAAAGGCGCCGTGGTGACGTCATCAGAGGAAATCCTTCACGTTCAAATGAAGGGGTCATTCGAATTGCTGATTTTGGCTCGATAATAGTCCTATTTTTTAGTTTCAGCCCCATTTATCGTAATGAGGCGAACTCATTGTTACATTGGTACAGCTTTTGATGCATGTTTTTTTTTTCTCCAGCTCACTCGAAAGATGATGCAATTCGAATGCATGCCTATGGGTTAAGGGAGATTCTACCGCCGTGGTAACGTCACGGTAAAGGGATTCTGGAGCTCGTGAACGGGGGCTGGCAGTTACATATAAGGTGGCAAGGAAGGTTTTTCCTCAATTACTTGCAGCCTGCTTGATATTTAGCCTTGAAAACATAAAACTGGCTATATAGTTCCACAACATAGCAATAGAATTTCTGATGCAAACTATCCTCAAATATGTATTCATTTTAAACATTGTTTACCAACGTCTATGAATCTTGGAAGATGTCTTGACACCTCTTCTCTGATTGGCGACTGCATATCATAGATCATTTGCGTGTACTGCCAGGTCCTACCAGTCTCTAGTCTGCATCCAACACCCCCGCCGCGGCCAACTCACCGACAGTTTGAACGGCTGCGCCAGGTCGAGCCGCACGGAGCCGTGCCGCCCGCGCAGCACGGCCCAGATGGCGCGCACGGCCGCCGCCACCGACTCGCCCTGCTTCGGACGGCCCAGCTGCTCGCCGATGAAGTTGCCGTCGATGATGCGGTCGTAGCTGACGCCGACCGGCACCAGCAGGGCGTCGTCGATACGCTGCTGATTGAACGCGTGGACTACGACACTGAGGAGGCCGGCTGTGGGCGAGAGAGGTGGGAGTTGTTCGGTGAGAGCACAGACAGATATAGGCAACGACAACTACAGGATTTTAATGCATCACAAAAAATCAGTTTTATCAGCATGATATCCGTTACAGGGTAGGTCACACGGTATCATGGATGAGATAATAATGGATAAGGTGTCTTCGCAGTTTTTGGCGACATTGAGCTCAGGCCTGCCATCTAGCGGGAGAATTATCGCAAGTTAGGAGCAAGCCGAGTGAACGCCGCTGATTAGCATTGTGACACACGGGAGTGTCGTGTAGTAGCAGGCTTGTTTTGCAATTTTTCAAAAGGTTATGTCCTTATATGTCAGCAAAAGCGAAGAAATCAGTAGATTTATGTGCAGGGTCAGTAATAAGATAAGCAGTTCCATGTTATTTCATTATTAAATCGTGAAACAGGGAGTTATTGGAGGCTTCGCCAGCACGTGTCGTTTTCGCTATTTTTCACATGAGTCTTTACTTGGCCTAAATCAAACAAATTGTCCGATCAAAGAACAAAATGAACGTAAGTACTATAGTCACCGTGCTATCTATAAGTCTAATGAAAAAGTTAAACGGAATTGCTAACGTCATTGCCGCTCAATATGTCATTCAAGACGCTCTATGAAAAGGACCCAACCAGTGCTGCGTAGTCGATGAAATATCAGTGACTTTGGCTCCAACTCCGACTCCGGTATCCAAATATCGACTCCGACTCCTTCGGGCAGAACTGTCGATTCACACAGACTCCGACTCTGACTCCGATTCTGCAGCCCTGGTAAGTCTGTGGAGTCGATGACTTTTCGGTGATGTTCGACTCATACTCCGACTACAGCTTTTAATAATCAACCGACTCCGAGTCGGAACAGAACCGCTGGCTCTGACTACAACTCCGCAGCCCTGGCCCAAGATAGCCGCCTAAAACAACTTTGATGTGTGATCTTCTTCGTACATTGTGAATGTTATTTTAAACAAGGAGTGGAAAAGGGAGACGAAGCCTTCACAAACAAGGATCTCCTGTTGCGGATCAATCAGCTGCTGGAACAGAAAGGCATAAACACCACGCATCTCATTTCATCGTTTTCCTAACGACTCCAATGTAAGCACTGATCAATGCAGTGCGAGCATCGACGTGACATTTGTGTACCAAGTTTGAGTGTTATCCGCCCAGCCGTTCTTGAGATATGGAAGCGGCACCCCGCACGTGCGCACGTGCAGTAGCACCCCCATAGTGACACATGGAAATGTATTGGCCACTGGGTGCCTAACTATTGACGAAGTTTTACTGTAATGGGCCCAGCCATTGCGGAGTTACTTTATGTGGAACAATTTCGACACCCCTAAGTTGGCACGTGACACGTGCCGTAACATTAACTAAGATGAAGAAAATCGGGCGAAATTCGGAGAAGAAGAAATAAGCCTACCAAATGTGTATGACATATTGTCAAACTGCTGTATACCATTGTGAGTAAATGGCCATATAAAAGCTCGTACAAGCCGATGGGACTGGGCGTTTCAATACACACCGTCTTACACATTTTATTTTCGTTATTACCTAAAGGCTGCTTGACGTTTTTGGCTTTCAAGCATTTAGGACATTTTTTGTCGTCTCAGGTCCAGTAAGATTACCTCCAACTCGTGGGAATATGCACTTCGAGCCAACTAACACACCACACCCACGTGTGTCATAATGCTGAGAGATGGCGTTCACTCGGCTTGCTCCTAACTTACGATAATTTTCTCGCTAGATGGCAGGCCTGATCCCAATGTCGCGGATCCCAATGTTAATTTCCACGAGACACCAATCCAGTGTTATATCATCCATGACGGTATCGAGTAATCGTAAGAATCGACGTGGCAAGAGTCGTAGCCCTTGAAAGCAGAAAAGAGCACAAGAGTCAGCATCAATAGCATCAATAATTCATACATGCTAGTGCTACTGAGAAGCTGATGAGACAGCCGCTATGCCGGACCCTACCTTTTGGCGGTCGGGGCCTGCCGTTCCTGGACCGTCCTCCTTCGATGAAGAACTCCATGTTGTAGCCCCGCGCCAGCGCCACCTCCATGTAGTTCTGCAGGATGGCGCGGTACAGCAGGTCCTTCCGACCGGACGCCGTGTCCAGGCGGCGCTTCACGAAGAAGGCGCCGAGCCGGGAGAGCAGCGGGCCGAACAGCGGGATCCGCAGGTTATCCCCGGCGGCCACCAGCGGCGCCTGGATGCCGTAGTTGGTGCAGACGAAGCTGAGCAGGATGTAGTCCAGGTGCGACTTGTGCAGCGGCAGGAAGATGACGGGTGTGCCCGGGCTGGCCCGCTGCGCCTGTTTGACCGCCTCCAGCTGACCCTTGTGGACGAGCACGGAGCCGAGCATACAGCGCAGCAGATGCAGCAGCGCCCACGTACTGAACCTGCCGGCCAGGGAGGGGGTGATGCTGGATGAGGGGCAGAAAAATCAGGTGGCAGGGTGTAGGGAACGTCGAAAGAGGAGATGAAAGGGACGTCACGGGGAGAGACTAGGTCAGACGAGGAAATGGAAGGAACTTGTCTTATCCAAGAGCATTGAAATAATTGAGGTTCAGTTTTCATAGAAATATTCACCTGCACACACTTGTCTTATGATTCACTTGGGTTACTTATCATTTTCGTAGGATAAAGCGCCTGACAAATTGTCTGAAACTACCATGAAAGCCCATTTGTGAAGGAAATAGTTAATGACCACTCCTACCTGAGTAGGACGATGCTGATAGTACCTACCTCAGCATGACGGTGCTGATAGTGGTGCGCATCCCGGTCAGGATAGCCTCAGCGCGCGCGTACAGGACGCGCCGCACCAGCTGATCCGCCTCGGGCGACTCTGTCAGTCCGCGCGACTCCAGTTCCATCTCCACTGACTGCTCCAGGGCCAGCTGGACGGCGTCAGTGTCCAGTACGGCCTGGAAACGTGGACAGTGGGGGTCAGTGTCCACTGTCCAGCACAGGGAGCAGATCGAGACAGGAAGGTCAATTTCCAGCACAGTCAGGGACATGGATATAGGGGACACACGGGGATACTGTCAGCGGTACACGCTAAAAAGGAGAAACGTCATGGTACTGGTATTGGCGCTGAGGATACGAGTCGTACAGTCTGGTTTCAATGGACATTAGACATTCACAAAAAAGAGGAGCGAAGAACAGGAAAAAATAAGAAACCGGACACAGTATGTCGCATCAAATACCGTATCGCACAGGTTACTCGCATTTCTAGGTTATCGACTTTCCCGCTTCGTCGTCTTACTATCCAACAACGCTGGTCGCCTCACCTGGTTGCTGATGTCGGCCTTTGGCTGGCGGATCTCCCGAGTGGCCGTGTGACTGATGAAGCAGAACGTCCGCACTAGGAAGCTGCGGTCCGGGTCCATCGTGTTCACCCGCAGCAGGTTACGGATGCCTAGCTGCATCACCTGGGGGTCCAGGTGTGCCTTCTGCGCGGGCACGGGGGGGGGGGGTTCTGTCAGACACAAGCACGGGGTAGGGAGGTGGTCTTAGTTAGGCGCTGGGGAGAAGGCACAGGGTGGGGAGGTGGTCTCTGTCAGACACAGGGGGAATGCTGGTACGAACAGCGTGACAACAACAGACAGCTGCAAGATAAGTACAATAAGTTATTCATACTCATAACTCAGTCAGTCAGTCCTGAAAACAGACGGTCCTTCATTAGTTGATTACGGAAGCAGTTGTCACATTGACCATAGACTGATATAGGTAGCATAGCAGCAGAATGCTGCACAAACACAAACCGTAGGAGCAATGTAGGGGCGATGCAAGCAGCCTGAGACCAGCCATTATCGCATCACTGCACCCGACACCGTGAAAGCTGATAAACCCATCGCACCACTTCAGCCTTATAATCTAATCGTCAGTCGCCAGTGACCAGTTACCACTCAACACATCTGCCTGGGATCATAACGTCCAAATCTGTCACTCACATCACCGGTCATCGTAGATCACAGTCAGTCACGTCAGCGGTCACAACCCGTCACATAACTGGTAAGCCACAGCACGTCATATCACTGGTCACAACCCGTCACACCATCGGTAACAACTAACAACCCATCACAGCAACGTTCACATGACAATCCACAGCACGTCAGATCACTGGTCACAACCCGTTACATCATCGGTCACCGTAGGCTCAATTCGTCACATTTTCGGTCACAATCCCTCATATCACTTAGCACAGTCCACTACATCACAATAACATCCCCACACACCTTGTGTCTTAGGCAGCGCGGAGTCCCCATAACTACCCTGTGTATATCCGACCGTCCGCCGGCACCAACTCGACCCTTCTGAGGTCTCGTAAGGGAAGGGGAGGGGATAGAAGGGGAGGGGCGCCCTTCACCTGCCCCGGGGTGGCGCGATTGGCGGTTGGCCAGACCCCGCCCCCGTCCCGAGTCTGACGTCACTCGGCCCCCACCGGCAGCCGACGAGAGGTCGTCGCGCGGCTTCACTGAGACTCGCTCGTAGGAATGAAGGAGAGACGGAGACAGGGCTAAATTGTTAAATCCAGAAAGATGAAACTTATAAATGAAGAAGTATTTTCCAAGGCGATTTCAATGTCGTAAAATGTGACTAGATCACGGTACTAAAGCAAATAACCCCAAAGAAAACGTAGGTATCTATTCGGTCCGGTTGTCACAAGTAGGGCCTTGACAACACCCACCCACAACATTCCGAGCCCGACACTCACGGCACCGACTCTGTCACTGGCACCGCGGGATCACGAGACAACACCGGCTGCCAGGGAAGTCATTACGGTCCCACAGCCTTGACTAGGGAGGTGAAGGTCGCGTGTTGTCCTATCGTGTTTTATTAACGTTTCTAGGCTGTCACGCAGTCAGAGGAAGTCGGCGGTACCCGGCACAGGCAGGCAGAGAGACCAACAGACCCCACGCAACACTAAACGACACCAGTCGACACCAACCGACACTAACAGACACCTGCCGACAATATCAAACATCAACCGACATCAACCGACATAAGTCGGCACTCGGCACCAACCGACAATGACATCAACCGACACATTACATACCAGCGGACGGCAGAGATCAACCGATACTAGCAGACACCAATCATACCAGCCGACATCGACAGTTCATGGTTAATGTGACGAGAATTCCTAGAAACAAATGTCCCTTTCATCACCGGCGTCGGTCAAGGCACGGGGTCACCAGGTCATGACGTTAAAATTGTCCCGACGCCCGACAACGCCAACAGCCGTCATCACAGATCAGACGATAGGCCGCAGCCGAGCAAATAATTATGGTGACGTTTTCATTTCCTATCCTTGTCAATAACACTATATTAGCACGCCATATTCTCATTCACAGCCGACATTTGACGGAACGGTTCATATGTCGCATTCTTGACTAGGATGAAAAAATGCACAATATTTAATATTTATCATTTCTGCACATACATACATTAGACAATGCGCGACATACGCACTACGCAGTGATGATAGGACAGCGTGACCCGTACCTTTGAGTGTGGCGTGCATCTGGGACAGCAGCCGCCCATGTAGGGACGGTCGCCGCCGCCGTCGCGGCCTCCCAGCTGGATCATGGGCGTCACTTTGAACGGCGCGAGGGTGCTGCCACCCGAGCGGGCCTGCCGGGGGAGAGGGGGAGTCAGAGGTTCTGGCGGGGTTCCCAGAGGCGGCAATAAGACGGGGGAGAGTCACAAGGGAAGACAAAAGGGTAATCGCTCAGGACAATCACTAGGGGTAGGGGACAGTCATACAGCGAATGACTGTGTCACGAATCAGGCTTGTTAGTAACGCCCTGCCCCAGACAGGCAGCGCGGACTGAGACAATGAAGCCACGGGGAGCCATAATGCTCAGTTTAAAGCAGCGGTTTGCCAACTGAGTGATGTGCACACAAAGATACTAAGGCTGAAACCAGGGAATCAGTAAAATGCCTAGGTTCGCGTGTTAGCAAGTGGAAGCCTCGGGCAGCTAAAACTAACTTAGTCTCAGCAAAATAGCCTACCTAAAAATTGTGGTCGCACAATGTTGAACAAACGTTGTTTGGTCTAACTTTGGGCCGTGTGGGTAACTTTGTTCCACGAGGAAAAAAATGGCTAAATTTTAATCAGCTTAATACCCATGCGCGAGAAATGGCATTTTTGGGCCGGAACCAATGAAGTAGTCAATGATAAACCCAGGGACACAAAAAAATACGTCATCATGTCGATTTTGGATTTTCTAGATTTTTTTTTGGTGAAGCTCCTTTTTTTCACCCAATATTAAGGTTTAGGTAGGTCCCTGTATGGGGCTCAGATGCTACCAGCCGAATCGATTTTTGCAATTTGCCTGAATAGGACATCATGTGAACTTTGCATTCGACTATTGGTAATTTATTTTCCTCAAACATTTTTTTAAAATTTGGGGGTGGTCAATGTTTATACATATTTTTTGCCGTTAATTCAATAACTTTGGGCCACCCGCAGGAAGGGTAAATCCAGGGGTGATTTAAAGTTCCGACACCATATGATGAAGAGGGTCGTCGTGTCGTTCGTTGTGTTCCGTGCCTTTTATTGTGTGTGGTTCGTCGTGTCGTTGGTTGTGCGTAAATGTCCCAGCGGGATACGTAAGCGATCTACAGTCATGATGGTGTGCATCATCCCGTGACTATGTTTGTACAATGTACAAGTTTGCTGTTCCTTTTTTAAAAGCCCCTAAGTGGACCAATGTATCCATAACGACCGCTAACATTGATACTTTTGGCTTTTCCATTGTTTTATTGATGCATTTATTCATATGGTACAAAGTTATTTTTGTGCGGGTAACATTGTGCCACTCTAATTTCAAAAAAATAAATCATATGTCATTATCCAAAAAAAATTAAGAGTGACTATAGGTGACCAGCAGGGATGTCACTGCCTTACTGCACAATTTCCTGAACATTTAACAAAATAATTTGGAAGTAATACGAAGAAAAGTCAAAAACTGGTACAAAGTTAGGCCAAACAACGGCCTATAACAAAATAGAGCACCGGGAACGGCTAAAGCGGTAATACTAAGCCTAGATCATGTAAAAATAACAATTATCCTGCTATCATCGACCTGTACAAACCCGATACAACATTCACCTATACGGTAGCTGATACCCATTCAAGGTCCAAAACAGCCGCAACTACGCCCCCCCCCCCCCGCCGTGGACTGACCCGGGGCACCGAACACGGACACAGAGCACGGCCGCCACGCGCAAAACTAGGCCCCGGAGTCGACTGCGACCCATATTCACGCCCCCCGCTATCATTCTTATCTTGAAACACGCGCCAGTGACAGTTTACGCTGCAAAGTACCAGCACGTGCACTGCGATAACTGGCAACAGATAACTAGCGTAAAATGCTGGCAGACAAAATCTACATTCGGTAATGAAACCAAAACAACGAGCCTTTCTTGTATCGCGCATTAGTGTTCCCGGACAAATTATTGCATTATAGATGTTTCCGTCAACGGATAAAAGACCCCTGATATAATGTCGCATCAATAGTCCAGCTGGAGGGGGGGGGGGAGGATCGCTGTATGAATTCGGCGAGCGATACAGGTCGCATCCTCTATCCAAGTAGGAATGTCATACCTATCCTAAATCTAACACCACATCTTGTCCAGATTTCTAGAATTTTAGAACGAATTTGTAACTCTAATTTTGGGCGGCATAGATCCGAATTTGCTTGACAGCCTAACAGCCACGTCTATCGTTGCTTACAAGTCACGCCTCACAAATGAATGACTTTAAACGACCAGCCTGCATCTAACCAAGGAGTATGCCACGGCTTCAACTTAATCAATCACGATGTCTTGTCGGTATCGCCCGAAAGCGCGTACGCCGCGCTCTCCTTACCCAGGACGGGGCGGCGGACGGCGGCCCGTCCGCGCGACTGGCGCCGCCCTTCCTGGCCGGGGCGGGCGGCTGCAGTCGCGGCGCTGATACGGTTCCTTGCTGCTGACCTCCGAACAGGGTCATCTCCGTGCGCCGGTCCCAGCGGCTCAGTCAGCGCTCAGCAGAACACCTGTCTGCTGTCCAAGGCCCCGCAACAGGCAGTGCACATGCTGTTAGTACCCAGCCAAAGGGAAAAGCACTCATCGAAGAGACAAACAACTATGTATATTGATATAGACAAGTAGAAAAACACGGAACAAATAGTGCATGGACGCGTTTCGATTATTAAATCTTCATCAGCATGACATAATCACAGAGAAAACAAGATATAGCTATATCTTGTTTTCTCTGTGATTATGTCATGCTGATGAAGATTTAATAATCGAAACGCGTCCATGCACTATTTGTTCCGTGTTTTTTTTTTCACAAACAACTATGCTATGACGCTTTGCTCACTAAGGGTGCTATGTTGCTGAATGAGACTGAAAATAAGTATACCACACTTATTTTTTCATCATATAGGTACAAAGGACTCAGGACTGGACTCATCTCACATCTGTTGAAAGCAACCAAATTATTTTGAAATGCCAGTTTTCATCTGGAATAGAATCAAATAATTCAGAATGACACTCTTTAATCATCTTATCCAGGACCTTGCACTACTTCAGTTCAGCACAGCACCATGTTAAGGCCTGCACACTGCACAGTGAACCCTTACTGATGACATCTAGTTGATATCACCCTCTTCATCAGACTGCAAAGCATGGCAATCTCAACAAGATCCTGCCAGTGCAGAGGCACAGCACCTGTAACCCAGCCCTTGGTGGTAGAGCTTTTGTTACATAATCTATAAAGATGCACTTGTGTGACAAAATTGTAATATAAAGGACAATGTTATCCCTGGCCAACCCTTTTGTGTCTCCAGTGCGCCCTTTTCCGACAAATGCTGCACTTGTGCAGTATTCACTGTTCAACACAGTAGGTCTTGTTTGGGTGCGGGCTGGCACAAATTTGTCAGCCTAGCTGGTGTGTCTTGTTGACCGTTGGCTGTTGCCTGTTCCTATGCCGATGCTTTGAGCTGGTCTGTTCGCAGCCTGGAAGGAAACTGGTGCTTGCATCACACCACTGTTGGAATTTACTGCTCTGTAAACTTCAATTTACCTCCTAAATGGAATCAGCAATGAATGCCTTCTGACATAGGGTCTTCATTACGTCCATAACCTATCGAGCCTATCTTGATCTACTGACTGCTGTTGTGAATTTGCATGGACGTCCAAGTCTGTAGCCTTGTCCTTGTGCGAACCTTAGACAGTATTGGCCTGAGCCAGAAGCTCACAAGTTTCGTGTATTTAATGGGTAAATTACTAAATGTGTGTATAAATTACTAAGGAATAATATTTAGTCATTGACTGACTGCTTACCACATAACCCCCGGCGAAAAAGGCATATGCTTATTACACCCAGCGGAAGGACATGCTTTGAGACATATTTTGACGCACTTGCTTCAAAATACATGTTCTTGTATTCGCTCAAGAACAAACTACACCAATCAGGTGTCTTAATAGAAGTCCGTTGTTGGCGGTCCTCAGTTTCGATTGGTAAAATTTGTATGTAGGCAGCTTTTTGGAAAATATAAACACAATCATGCAGGTTGAATGTGGATCGTGGACTTGCTTGCGGGAGGTTCAGATTATTGTGATTTTGATTTGTATGAAATTATCAGTGACTGCGTGACTACTGACTGTTAGTGCCTGGGCATTTAGTGGGCATTTATACAGCTTTTACTCGTCATAAATACGGTTAGTTATTTTACTTTTATTCTGAGATCAGGTATCAGGAGATACATTCCAAAAATGATACTTATATCAATATGTCCTGGAAATAAAAGAAAAAACAGTCAAACCTGACCTAACCTTACCTATTTACCTACAACCTACCAACCTACAACCTACAACCTACAAACCTACCAACAGCGTCACAATTGTCCACTCGGACCTAATATATACTAATACCCATATAATACCTTACCTTATACCTTACCTTATCGGTTATCGGGTAATAAGGCCACTAGGCCTGGAGGTCCCGCTCCCATCGAGCGTGTGTGACAGGTAAAGGCGAGGCTCTTAATGGTAGGGATTCGGGATGTCGTACATCTTGTTCGCCCAGTGTCGGTCCAGTCGTGCCTTGAACTGAGCAACCGATGTGGCAGACACTACTGTGGACGGCAGGGCGTTCCAGTCGTTGACGACTCTTGTGCTGAGGGCGTTTCTTCGTGTCAGGGTGTTCGCTCTGGGCTTGAGCAGTTTCCACTGGTGGCCTCTTGTTTGGTTGGAGGTGCTCTTGTGCAGGAACCGTTCGGGTTCCACTGCCATCTCGCCGTGCAGCAGCTGAAAGACGGTGATCATATCGCCTCTGCGTCGTCGGTAGTACAGCGAGGGGAGGCGAAGATGACGTAGTCGGTCCGGGTACGGGAGATGCCGGATGCTCAGAACCATCCGGGTTGCCCTGCGCTGCACCCGCTCCAGTTTTGCCTGGTCAACTCTGCCAAAGGGTCCCCAGATCAGGTTCCCATACTCCAGAAAAGGTCGGACCATGGATTTGTAGAGCAGAGGGAGAGTGACCTCATTGATGGTAGCGAAGGAGCGCTTCACGACAGCCAGCATCTGGGAGGCTTTCGCGATGGCAGCCGCTGTTTGCTGGTGAAACTTCAGGTCTTCGTCGATGATGATGCCCAGGTCCTTATCCTCCGTAACTCCCTCGATGGCAGAGTCGTTCAGGCGGTAGGTTCTCCCAGGGTTGAGTCTGCCAATGTGCATCACTTTGCATTTTGAAGCATTGAAGGGCAGCAGCCACTTGCTCGACCAGCGGACGAGGGCGTCGATGTCGGCTTGGAACTCGGCGGAGTTTCCAGTCACGTGGCGGTACAATTTGGTATCGTCGGCGAAGAGCTTGATGCAGCCGGAGACCTGACCAGGCATGTCATTCACAAATATATTAAACAAGATCGGCCCGAGCACAGATCCCTGGGGGATTCCGCTGGTCACCGGAGTCCAGTCGGACTTCGCACCTCCGACGACCACCCTCTGTCGGCGATCGAGCAGGAAGGCGGCGATCCAAACTAGCAGTTTTCCCCTGATGCCATAGCCATGTAGCTTCGTGATGAGACGTTGGTGCGGGACAGAATCAAAGGCCTTGGAGAAGTCCAGGTATGCGACATCGATCGGTTCCCCGGCCTCCACAGCAGCGCTCCAGTCCTCCATCACCTCAAGCAGCTGGGTCGAGCAGGATCTCTTCGGGAGAAACCCATGTTGTGCCTTGTGGAGGAGCCCTGCATCAGAAAAGTGCTGAAGGAGGCGGTCGCGAATGATGGATTCCATAACTTTCGATGGGACCGAGGTGAGACTGACTGGCCGGTAGCTCTCTGGTCTCTGGCGGTTCCCCTTCTTGTACATAAAATACATAAAGATAGCGCTCAAGACTCAAGTTCTTGTTCATGTTAATACTTGATGGAACTCAAACCGAAATGGCTTGAAATAGTTCACTTTTTAACATGGGTTTTGAACTGGAATAGCAGTTCCGTAGCTTAGGCTGAGACGAGCATAAATCAGGAGCTTTTACAGCCCAACGATCACCCTAGGCAAAGATATTCTATTTCTCGTCCCGAAAAAGGTGTCTTGCGTTGAGGATGTGTGCCTTGCATATATTTCCATCCAGTATGAAAAGAGCATGGGTCCCGAAAATTCTTCAGAAACTAGAGAGATTATCTACGAGAACTCTAGAGAAATTCTCGTACTGATCAATTAGGACATTCAGGGGAGCATATTTACGTCTGGACAACGAGTTGCGTTGGAGAGGCCGGAAATAGTGGCGATTTCTGGACCGCAAGAATGGACCGTCATTGGAATGATTCTTTTTCAAACCGTGCACTGTTTTTAGCCGGAATTTAATAGTTACTACAAAATATTTTTGTCATTACATTTGGCTAAGAATGAATGCCATCAGGGAAGGTTTTACTGCCGCTGCATTTTGTCCAGAAACATATAGTGCTGTTATATTGCAGTTTTTGCGCTTTTGTTACAAAATATGAAGCGAACATGCATCAGGCTCTCGTCCATCCACTAAGAAGTTATTAAATATTTTGTTTTGTGTATTCCAAGAGGAGAGGAAACTATTTTATTTGTGCCTTCATTGAGAATTGAAGATCGATCATTAAATTTTCAAGGCAGTTAATCAATCAAACCAAGCATTTAGTCATTCTCGTATAGCAGTGGCTATAAGAAGAAAAGGTTGATAAATACTGAAGTTCAGTCATCTTACTTCAACTTGGCAGCAAGATCCCAGAGGATAAAGGATATAAAAAGTATACCTATCCTGTAAATCAAAGCATTTTGGTGCCTGCAAAGGCTTGCGTTATTTGTGGTGTGCTCGCGGAGTGAGGCTTTGGGCGTTTTTGTTGTGTTTATGTGGAGATTGAATATAACTGTGACCCTGTGTTTGTTTGTGTATTTACTACAGTCAAACATCACATTCACATAAAATACTCACCTAGCTCATAGGTGTACCCTGCAGAATTTGTACTTGTTGATGTCTGGAGCATGAACAAAGCACTAAAGTATCTCAATTATCATTTCCCACATTTTCTGAGCATCTAACATGGCAATACAGCAGTGCAGAGCAGCTTCAGAGAAGAAACACTTTCAATGCACAGACTGACACCAGCCACCCAATGAGCCAGTTCCTCATTTGGCTGTTTCCATGGATGCGGCTTGGCAAAGGTGAGCTAACTTGGCAACGGCTTGACGCGAGCTGTTTTTAAGTTGTTAGCAGGTAAGATTGAGTCATGGTGAGTATCTATCATATAACTGGGTGCTTCTGCTATGAGTAGATTGCAAATATGTGTGATGATTGAGGTTAGGTTAGGTTAGTCAGGGCCCTGTTTCACCAGTGATAGCAGCACGCTGCTTATACACGTGTCAAATTGGGTTTCCATGGAAACATCAACAGGCCCATTGCTCCAACACTACCACAAGTGTGACGTCAGTTCGTGCAATTGGATAGCAGCGTGGTAGCAGCATCCCGTGAAACACCGCCCTGGTCACATTTTTTATGGACACCTGGCAAATTAACTAAAAACTAGCATAACCTAATCTAACCTGACCAAACTAAACCTACACAACTACTAACTATAGGCACTAAGCACCTAAGTTCTTGTGCCTACATCTCATACCAACTCAAAATAAAGTTCCTTGCTGGAAGATAACCCTCCAGTACATTTTATAACATCCCTGTGAAGAAGACTAATACTTCTAAATCCTGAGTCACACTTCTGGCCATCCACAGAAAGAAGCGCTGAGAGCTTTGCTATTGTATATTGGACCAAAGATCATTGTCACGAATGACTATTAACACGTATTATATGATCATATCGTTGCATGGCTTGTCACATTCACAATTTTACTGAAATCCTTTTTCAAGAAATGCAAAGTTTCATTTGCCAGACACTTGAGTAATGCACATTACCATCTGCATAGCAAAGTAAAGCTGCCTGAGTTCGCTCATTCTAGATTTTTTCACTTCATAGTCAGCGCTTCATAGTTATAATCTTGCTGTTATAAGTTATAATTAATTATTCATCCCAATACATCAATAGACAATATGCAATCATCATCAGCAAACATTTTCTGGCTTGATACTGCTCGGCGTACTCTTCAGTATTGATCTCCTGCAATAATATGGCTTGTTTTTAGCCAATACAGTTGGGCAAACTAGGCGGCGGGAATCAAAATATGGAGGCATCAAAATATTGATTCTAGTGGGCGGAGCTTTGACCATATATGGGCATACGTGCAGACCATCACAGAAACGTCAATTCTTCAGCAACCGGCTATAATTTCAAGATAGTTTCTTCACAAAATGTAGAACAACGTTGAAGCTACCCGCCAGGCACGAAACAATAGCCCTAACCTCTTCGGTTAGTTTAGGAAAGCGTCTTGAAAATAATCAAGATATTGATTCATCACGGCGGCTAATCCCGGCGAGAATCAATATTTTGATTCCGCAAACAGCTGGCTAATCATTATTTTGATTCTGAAATCAGCTGGTTTATCAATATATTGATTCTGCGAACTGACTTTCTGCAGACGTACTTCACTCTTCAAATTGACTTATGGAATGTTTCTTGTGTGCAAATAATGCAAATTCAATAAATTCATGAAGATATTATCAGCACAGGATCGTGTAATTTTTTCTAGACCTTATTCCCACGGTAGACCAGGGATTTTCAGCACTCACCCTAGCTCCCTGCTCAAAGCTGCAAGCCTTCGAGGGAATGCGTCAAGGGAGCCGTGCTGACCTTTGTATAGGGGTTGTACTGAGTCGGAGCCGGAACCGAAGCCCGACCATTTTACTCGGAGCCGGAGCCGGAGCTGGAGCCGATTTTTCCTCCGGAGCCGAAGCCGTCTAACATTTTCACGACTCCACATCCCTGCTTTGTAGCATTGATTTTGAGTAAAAAAAAGTTCACTTATCGTCTTTCACGTGTTCATGAATGTGTTTCTACGCATCTGTATCCCGTCCCATTTCTGTGGAGTACAGTAAGAGATATTTCGCCGAACAATATACTCCTCAAGCCCGTTGCACAAATTGCACAATTTGAATGAAAATATGATACACGGATGTATTTGCAGTCGCAAATAATACGATGATATTCATAACACATTTCACAACGATCCCTGCAATTGCCACACATTTGCCATCACAAAGCCCTGTCGTTGATGCTCACATCCCATGCAAAGCAATACTCACTTTTAGGACACGTCTCTTATTCAATATGGCTACGTATTTGCAAAACATGCAGTTAATAATATTTAAAACTGAGACCTAACCAATAAGACATACCGTGGACAGGTAAGAAAAAACAAATAAACTTCTGGAGAATGACTTCAACGTCTCGATGTTGCCTAATTACAAAGAGCAATTTCCGGTTTCGAATCAAATACATGAAATAAATATAAACAAAATTTGTACAGATACACTCAATATAGGGTTTATGATTAGCACGGCTACCTAACACATCAATCCTGTCAGGTTGAGCCACTTATGTCCACACCCAAAGCAGGTCGCTTTGGAACATCACAAGATTCCATATTACCACCGAAAACGGTCACCAATTGGTCTACGGATCAGCATCTTCAGA